AAATGTCTCTTCCTCCCATTTTTCCTCATAACAATCATCCTGCAAGGTAGGCTGGACAGAAATGAAAGTGACTAGTCCACAATTATCCAGAGAGTATTGTGGTGGTGTGTGAATTACAACCTAGATTTTCCCTCCCTCCCTCCCAACACAGTCCAACACTTTCAATGCCTGTACCATGTGCTATGTTTTTGAATACTTTCAGTATGGAAGCCAATAAAAAAAATATCCATGAAATTGATTTTTATTATTAATAAGACATCATTAGAATACAGTAGTTACCTAGAGTGCTGAAATTTAGGTTAATCCTTTCTTAGCCTTCACACAATAGTTTTCCTCTGATCTTCTTGAAGGCACAATGGGATATAAAAAGAGAATAAATAACTCTTTGGCTTCACCTGCAAGATTGGATGAAACTGGAAGCTCCTTAAGCTGCTTTTCTATTTATTCACATAAAAAGTATATATATATATATTTATTTATACCGCCTCCAGTTCTCCTTTGAAGTATATACACATCATCACTCAGATGATTTACGGGATTTGAAAGAATCATTTTTTAAAGACGTTAAAAACCATTCCTAAAAAAAAAAAAAGTCTAATGAAATGTATAAAGCAGACAGAAAAAAAACCTATTCTGCCTTTCCTTTGAGTTTAACTTTTGTTCTCTCTCAATCTCATTTACTTCACAGAGCTATTGTATGGAAAAACGTGAAAGTAAATCACATTATGCACTCCTCAGGGATATCTGGAAAGGGAAGATAAAATGGTAAATGCAGATTAAGCATTTCTTCACTTTTCACAAAGTAAACTATATTGGACTGACACTACTACATTAATATATTTATGAATATGACACCAAATCAATTTGGTGTTTTAAAGATCCCCCTTATCTGAAATCTTATCAAGATACTTGACAACCAAGGAATTTTTAAATATGGAAGTGACCAATTGAATCATCATTCACTACTTGAAATAGAAATCTGTGTCTTATTTGCAGCAGTGAATTGCCCGCACAGTGTTGTGTTGTTTAGCAACCTCTGAATTAAGCTTGTTTCACAAAGGGAAAAGGAAGAAATTTTCTGAGCAACTCGGTCCAGATTGTTGCTACTACTGTTTATAATTCCCCAGGCTTCTTTCCCCCGTTATTCGATTCCTCTTATATTATTCCATTGTAGCCTCAGTATAAATTTTTATTTTTATTTGCACAAATAAAGGAAACACGGTCTGGATGAGCTCAGAAATCTATCCTAAACTTCAACTTCTGATTTACTTCTTCTGTTCCTGCAACTCAGCATCTGTGACCAGTTTCACCTGAGGAACTCCACCATCACAGTAATCTAATTTACTTTCCTGGAAGTAAATTGCTAAATTCAAATGGGTTTACTTTGGAGTAAGCACATATAACATTATTTGTATCCTTGGGATGTGTTGGAGGGCAGCAACTATAAGGATGAGAGCCTTATTGACTGAAATTGAGAATTGCAACCCGCTTTCAGAGTGCTGATATTGGGAAATGGTTTTGAGGGATTTCTTTGGAAATAAGACCAGGAATTCTAAGTATCAGAGAGAATACTTAAAAAAAAGAAACATTTGTTTGAATATGGTTAAAGAAATAGAAAAAAAATTGAATATACATGTCATTCTAAGAGGGATGAATCCCTTAAATAACATAGTATGCTTCCCCCCCTTTTTTAAATTCTATTTCTTGATATGAGTAATATAAAAAAAGTAAACCCACAAGGGATTCCACAAATCTTCTTGAAAGTGCACACCACTGTATTCAAGCTATATATTCCTTCCAGTAACCAGGCATAAGATCCAGTTTCGTGATGGCAATGGGAATGCTTATACAGATGAGACCTATTGATTCAAGTTTATAAACTTTCCATTTAAAAGTTGGAAGAAAAATTCTCTGTAGCATTTATTTTCCTGCACACTTTCATAATTTTATAAGCTAGCACTATATTTATTATTAGTCACTTTGGGCTTTCTTCTGTGATACAAACATTATGGAATGCAAAGCAGTAGGATCCCAAACAATAAAGCTGCAATTTTATTCGTTTTCACTTGGGAGTAAGAATTATTGAACTCGGCAGGGCTTTACTTCTGAGAAGAAATATACAACTTAGTTTTAAGGCTGTGACCTTATTAAAGTTGCCTGGACAATAAGCTCCACAGAAGGCAGTAATGCTTACTTTTGAATAAACAACTTAGAATTATGCTAAATTCCAACTTTAGAATTACCTTCTAAATAGGCAAGGTTACACACGAGTGACTTGCATTGCAAAAACGCAGATCTGCATAAGATTGCGGCTAAAAGGCCCCACTCCTAAACACAGTTAGATACTAGTGAGGGTTCTTTCTAACACTTTCTAGTTCCACTGACCTAAGTAGGTTTTAATTTTGAATATATTTTGAATGGGGCTGTAAGTAAATGAAACAGAGACGAGCACCACCCCTAAGGTTGACAACTACTAGTAGCAGGGACTCCTTTACCTTTACCTATAAGTAAATTAACAATATTATAAAGAGGGGAGAGAAAAAAAAGGCTTCTTAAAGGGAGGCAGTAAAACTACCAGAACTGAGTAAAGTGCAATTAATTGTTTAGGTATATTAATCTGCATAATCTCAGGTTTTGAGACATTTATAATCAAGGTTTATAAATGATCTTAATATAGATATTAGAGAATCCCAGTCTCTGCAACAATTAACATGGTCTAGGCTAGGGAAACCAGATCTAAGTATCCATAGCTGTGACATTTTGGTCCAACTACCATTCCTTAACCTGCCTCCATGAAATAGTTGCAAGGGAAAAATACACTCTACATTACCTTGATCTCAATGGGAGAATGCAGAAATAATTCTTAGGGGTGTGTTTTTATTTGTGGTTGTGAGCTGCCTAGATATGGTACAGATGGCCACAGACTGCAAGTTCTTGTAAATAAATAAAAGGAAACGCTTTCCAAGTAAATCAGCCCTTGTTTCTTAAAGCTATGGGTTAAGGTTGCTCTGCCCTTCCTTCTCCTCTCCTGCAAGGTTCTTTCGCTTTTGCACTGCAGCCTAACAGGCACCTATCCAACAGATGCAGCCCCTTCTCCTCCGGAAAAGCTCCCAGCTCCCAAATTTTTGCATTTATATACTCTTTCATCAAGCTTTGTCGGAAAAGATTGGAAAGAAAGAAAGCCACCCCTTTGCAAGGCTGCACCATCCTGGAAGGCAGCATCTTGCAAAAAAAAAAAAAAAAGGACGGGGAGGCAGCGGAGTCACTATGGTGCATATAGCATGTTTATATGTGTGTTATGTATGTCTACACTTATGAGAGCAGCCAACAGAATTTCCTTTTTAATGTGCGCCAGTGTGCCCACAGTAAAAAAAAAATGACAATAAAGGTTACCTTATCTTATTCTTTGTTATCGTTTTTTTTATTGAAAATTTTATAAAATTTTACAATATAAATCCCCCCCTTCCCCTCCCCAGCCTTCCACCCCCCCTCCCCTCTCCCTCACTTCCCAGTGCCAATCACAGGGTTAACAATAACATGATCATAATCTAATTAACATTAATCAACTATTAAAATAACTTATCTATAACTTCCTTTAACTCTCTTTTAAACAGTACAATTATTAAAAACAATAACACTTTAATAATTAAAAATAATACCAAATAAAATATTCTAACCTTTATACAACCATAATACTCTAAAATTTACTCAAAAACCAAATGATATTTTTAGTCCCACATTTACACTCAATATAATCTATCCATCTTCTCCAAACCAAAATATATCTTTCTTGCGAATGATCCTTCACATAAGCGGACATCTTGGCCATTTCTGCTAAATTCGAGACTTTAAGTGACCATTCTTCTATAGTAGGTAAACGTTCCGTTTTCCAATATTGAGCCACTAATAGTCTAGCAGCAGTTATAAAATTCAACATCAATTCCATTTCTTTTACATCCAAGTCTTCCATAACTTATTCTTTGTTATCACTGACCCAACACTCAGCACCCCTTCCTCTCTCGGGGACCCCAAGCGCAGAGCTGGATCGCCCCCCCCCCCACCTTCTTCTCCCGGGATCGAGGCCCTCGGTGGCTCCTATACCCCCCCTCCCTCGTTTCCCCCTTGGCTTTGAAGCCCTCGGTGGGGCTGGCCCCCTCCTCTCCAACCTGGCTTTCCTCCCCCCCCCCCGGGGCAGCCCAAGCTCTCTTGCGCAAGGATGGCGGCGAGGGGGGGGGGCGCCTCCCTGGATCCCAACCCTTGGCTGGGCTTTGAAGAGGCCACCGGGGAGGCATCAACGGGTTGGGCCGGGCCCCAGAGGTGGGAAGGCCAGGGGTCTTCCTTGGCCTTTGGCCAATACCTGGAGGAGAGGTGTGGTCAGGGCCACTTAAGCAGGAGGGCGGGTCGTTGCCAGGATGGCTTGGACCCCCTCCAGCTGTCCGAGCCGCCCGGGGGGGAAAGCAGTCTTCATTCTGCGGGGCGGTGGGGCTCCTTGCTCCGCCGCTGGCCTTTTTTTGGGGGGGGGGGAAACTTGTTGGACGTTGCCCCGGGTCTGGCTCCTCTCTTGGGCTAAGGACAGGGGCTCAGCCCTCCCCTTGGACTTGACTTCTCCTGCAGGGGTCGGGGGTCCCCTTCTTGGGACGGCGACCGGAGACTTTTCCATCGGACCTTTCTGAGCTGCGGGGGGGGACAACGGCGGCTTCCTCCGTCGCCTCTTTGCTCCCCAAACATTGGCTTGGGGGGTTTTCCCAATTGCTTCTTTCCCCCCCCCCCCGAAGAAGAAAAGCCTGCCCGCTAAGGAGAGACCTTGGACTCCTAACGCCTTCCAGCTTGGTCGGTCTCCTCCTCCTCCTCCAACTTGCTCAACCCAACCCAACCCAACCGAGAGGTTATTTCGGCCTCTTCCCCCCCGTTTCTTCCCGGGCGTCTTGGCTAACTTTTCCGAGCCACCAGGCCAGAGTCGCGACCTTCGGGGCTCTTGACCGCCTTTCCAACCGGCCACCATGGCGGGGCCCTTGAGACGAGAGCTGGGCCGCTCCTACCCCTTCCCGGTGCAGACCCTTCATCTCAACAACCTCCCGCCTGTTCCCCAGCACGAAACCCCGGGCGGCTACTTGCCGGAGGCTTTCAGCGGGGCCACCGCCGGGCAGGCCTTCGGCTTCAAGCCGGATTACGGCCCCCAGGGAGGGATCGGGGAGCCCTATCCCGGCGGGGGTGACGTTCCTCGCACCTGGTACCCCTTTGCTGCCGGGCCGGATGCCTGGGGCCACCCTCCCGGGATCGTGGTGGGCCCTTACGCCCTCCCGCAGCCCGGAGAAGCCTGCCAGGCCTCCAAGGCCGAGATCAAAGTGGAGCGTGACTTCGACCAAGCGGGCCCTTATTACGGGGGGCATCCCTGGGCCGGAGGCTGCCTGGTCCCTGCGGCCACGGTCACGGCCCCGGCCCCGGCCCGGCCGGCTTCTTGCAACAACAAGGAGGCTGCTTCGCCCAGTCCGGATCCCGAGCCTTCCAGCAGCCCCGCCAGCCCGCCAGAAGAGGTGGGGAGTGGGGAGAGCAGTCCCCGGAGCGTGGCTAGTCAAAGCCCCAGCGAGCAGATGGCCTCGGAGGAAGCGAAAGATGAAGAGGGCAGCGGAGAAGAGGTAGGGTTGGGGTGGGTGGGATGGGGAGATGATGTGGGCCAACCTGAGGTTTTTACAAGGGGCTTCTCAAAGTAAGGGTTATAAGATTTAAGACATGAGCAACTCTTAAAAAACAAAGTGGCAAGGACACAATGGAGGACCCCATAGTACAGTAGGGCTGTATTGATATTCTCCTTCTCATCTTCTCATTTTTCCTACCACCTTCTACTATTGGTATCTGTGATTTCTCACGCTGTTGTATCTTACGATGATTAATGATTGCAACTGTGATCTATGATATATATGACCTATCACTTTGTTGTTGTATGTACAGTGAGAGCTTATGCACCGGAGACAAATTCCTTGTGTGTCCAATCTCATTTGGCCAATAAAGAATAATTGTGTCTTTGCCATGTTTTTTTTTTGGGGGGGGGGAGAGTTGCTCAATTCCCCATACAGGGTGCTAAAGGTTGCTTTTAGAACTGCTGGCTCCTACTCTGGATAGGAAGGCATTTCTAGCGGGTTTCTTCATTGCATCTTGCCTACTCAGAAAAGATGCCCTTCAGCCGTAGGTGGGTGGATGTTGCAATCCGGAGGAAGAGTCTCCTTTCTGCACTCACCTAACAATCCTGGGTCTGATCTAGTTTGAGTGGAGCATCTGTTTTAGCACAGCGGTTTAGCGGAAGATTTCAGCAAAGGGTTTTAGCATTCGTGTCTTTTTGAGACTCTGGAGATTGCTAGGCAAATGCTTCCTAAGTTGTGGGGAGCTAATGAAGGATTGAGGAATTGTATGAAGCGCTCTGGGGCTTCACGTCTATGGAGATTCTCAGTCATCCAGGTCATGGTTGTTCCAAAGGTGTTTTTTTTTTTTTTTCCAAAGAAGCAACTGGACTTTCTTGCTTTTTTTCTTTGAAAACATTTCGCTTTTTATCCAAGAAGCTTCTTGGATGAAAAGCGAAATGTTTTCAAAGAAAAAACCCAAGAAAGTCCAGTTGCCTCTTTGAAAAAAAAAACACCTGTGCATCTGGGAGTTCACATTTATTATTTAGTGGCTGGCTTGTGGCTGTGCATTATTGTTGCTGGGTAGGACAAAATGGGATAAGCCATGGTCTCTATTGGGACTCCTCCATAAGATTTCTGAGCTGGTAAAAACTGTGTTAAAGGTGGAGTCCATTAAGTCTCTGGAAGATTTGCAACTAGGGTTTTAGATTCCAGCTCAGCATCAAGTGCTTGGAAATAGTGCCATCATTTCATTGTTGTAAAGAAATCGACTTTTTTCCCCTGATGGTGCTTTTTTTTGGTCATGCTTTAATGAGAATCTCTAAGCTTATATTGAAACATAAATATGTGGTTGGGTTTGCAAGACTGAATCACAAACTAGCTAACTCTGTCTTAGCTTATACTGTATTATATATTCTATTATATAGACTGTATAATTAGTTTGTAGCTCAGTGACTATCTTCACACAACTGCTAACCTGGTTTCTTTATTAGCCACAGTTTGGGTTTTGCCCAAGACACTGAATCTTAGTCACCAGTTTTACTGGTTATACCTAACATGCTAAATCATAAATCTCTAACTGAGTTGAATGCTAACCAAGGTGACCATGGTATCTGTGTTTGGAAGTGATAACACTATGAGATGTTTTTAGGGATGGTCTTGTGTAAATCTGTACTTTCTGTATTCCATTTTTTTCAATCCCACACCCACCTGTTACATATATATGAAATTGGGGAAAAAATTATTCAGGTTGGTATTGTATACGCTGGAAGCAGATTGTACTGTAGTTGATGAAAGCCCATGCCATATTGTATAATCACTTTAAGGTGCCAAAAATTAGAAGCAGACAAATTAAAATTGTCATGTAGATCTTCCTACAGAGGATCAAGTTGAGAAAAGGTTGTTTTAGTTTCCTCATAAAATGGTCTGGTCTATTTCTTTACACCCTTGAACTTTTAGAGATAAAGGCTCTAAACGCTAAACGCGCCTCTTTCTTCTAAAAGTAATTACATGGTAAAGCTGTATCAGATTACTCCCATCAACTCAAGTATCCTTTGCCTTACTTGCTGAGAAGGATGTAAAGCCAACAGCTTCCCCTTTTTCCCCATTCAAGAACTAGTATTCAGATCTACTGCGCTGGAATCAGGAGGATTAACTATGATTAATTAGCACCAGGATGTGTTTAATGTTACAAACAGTTTTGAGATTTTTAATGGGAAGCAGTATATAAATATGTTAATTAAGGGCCATAAAAATCACCACCCCTCCCAATTTGTTTAAAGTCTCCTAATGCAACATTTGCTGTTACAAGTTGTCAACTAATAAATTGATTATGAACAGTATCAAGAAGCAGGACTTGATTGGTAGAGCTAATAAACTTCTGAAGCCGTAAAAGAAACATTTTGTTTCTTATAAACCTCTAGATAATTTAGAGAAAGTTTTTTTCTCCTCACCCCTATTGGGTAGAACTCTAGGTTTCTAATGAAACTGAGGATTAACCCTTTTAAACTAAAAAACTCTTTTAAGAGTTCCTCCCAGAAAAGATGCTCCATTGACTTGGATTTCTTGATTAGGTGCTTCCTCTTTTGTGTGTTCCAGCTGTTTTGCTCACTCATCAGCTGGATTCATTCAATTGATCAGTATATAAACAATACATCAATCTCTGGTTGATTGGGTTAGCCTGACCCTGGTATGTCAAAAATCATATTTTGGCATTGCATGATGTGCAAACTACTGTTTTGGCCACTTGGCCACTTTTTAAGCCCCACAGCGGGTACAAAACCTCCAATTTGTTTCTAAAATTCAGGTACTGCAGAAAGGGGTGTTTTTCCCAAGCAAACTGAGAAGGTTTTAGCTTTTACCCTGTTTTTCTCCTGCCTATCTATCAGCCATAAGAAAAATCTCTTCTTGCTAACATGCAGGATCCCATCAGTGTTCCCCAACGATGCCCCCCTGGCTGGGGGGGGGGAATTTTGGGATGTTTTGACATGATTGCAATTTGTTCATAGTTTATGATGTCTTTATTGCACAGCAAGGGGTGAAATCCATGCCAGTTTTGCCACAAACTAGCAATGCAGTATAACAATGTTGTCACAAGGTGATACTGCTTGGTATCTCAATAGTGTGTATAGTTTATGGTTAAATTTATATGCCGCTCATTCCACTCTCCAAAGTGATTCTGGGTAGTTTACAATAAAATTCTTCAGAGATGATTATGGAGCTAGAAAGAATGCAACAAAACAAAAATGATACCAATTAATCAGGCAGTTTAAAAGGTTTTCCTGTATGGAAAGACTACAACAATTGGAAGTTTTTTCTTTAAAGCCAGAGTGAACACATGATGAGCTTAGTATAAAATCAATGCAGGTTTTACTCCTCCCAGTGTTAGAATTGTGTGTCATCTATTGAAATGAAATATTCAGTGATCAATTTTTTTATATACCATGCATGGCATGAAATTCAGTGTGGATTTTTTTTTTAGAAGAGGACTGGACAAATTCACGAAAGAAAGACAGGGGAACCAACAGCTGTTGATCTTCAGGGCTGTTTGCTATTCTGAAATACCAGCTGCCGGGGAGCCACAGCGAAGGAGGGGTGTCAACCCCCCTATTCATGTTTGTGTGGTTTTTGGAATGTATATGACTGCCTACTGTGAGATACAGAGTGGTGGACCAGATCAGCCCTTGGCCCGATCAAGTAAAACTCTTTGAAGTTTCTCATTCCTTGGGGAACATTAATTAATGAAACGCCATGATCCTGCGGTGGCTGGAGAAAGCAATTGTGCAGCATTTCTTTAAAAAGAGTCAAGTTTCCAGAGAAAAGAAGCAACCAAGTGTCTCCCCCTTCCCCCATTGTCAACCCAAGATCTACCAAAGTGCCCAAAGATCCAACTTGAATTTCTGAGCAGATGCAAAAAGAGCTGATAAAGTTAATTTTTAAGCCCCTTGCTAATGGTATAATAACTAGACAGAGCCAATATGGGTCTGTCAGTCTTCCCAAGTCTCTTTCTGTAATCAGATTACTATTTGCTGTAGAACCAGACAGGAAGACCAATCTTCTCAAATCCACTGAATTTTGCTTGGAATCCAACAGCTATCAATCAAAGCCAGGTAGTGAAATTAAAGCGAAAGTTTATAAATACTTAAAGAGTTAATGCTTGTTCATTCTAGGTAAATCATAAAAGCAAAACCCAGATTACAGTAGATAATCTAGGAGTCTCTTTCTGATTTGATGGATTTGGGGAATGGAAAGGTGTACTTCTTAAAAAAAACAAGAAAAAAACAAAGCAGCAACAAACATTTGACAAAGAGACTGTCTCTTCCCAGTTTCCCCCCCTATGGTTAACCAGTTGAATAGATGTATCTGTGATGATAATGTTGTGTTGAATGTACTTGCTGCCCATCTCACTATCCAAGCAACGTTAGGCTCCTTACAATAAAAGCATGAAAAAAAAATAAAAAGAATTAGAATTAACAGGGATCAATAAAATTAGAATTAACAGGGGTGAATAGCAATAGCACTTAGACTTGTATACCACTTCATAGTGCTTTACAGCCCTTCTCTAAGCAGTTTACACAGCATATTGCCCCCCCCCCCAAAACCAAATCTTGGTCCTTTATTATCACCTAATAAAACTTAGGTGATATATATGGTGATGGAATGAGATGGATTCATAGGGTTCTACCTCTGAACTGAGCAGGATTTTGACTGAGAAACTTGAGTTTCTCTGCCTGAAAGTACTCTTCAACCTTTCTATCAATTATTTAAATGATTTTTCTTCAATCTGGCTACTTAGATGTCTTGGAATCCTGTAGTTTCTTTTCACTCTTTTGAAGTTATGGGTTGGGTGATGAGACTTGTAGTTCAAAATGTGTTGGAGAAGGCTGAGTTAGAAGGTTCTCAAAAGACCCAACTTGGGTTGCTCAATGTAATTCAGAAAAAAAAAATGCTGTGTTTTTGGTAGAATAAACAACTGAACTAAGGAATGAAGTTTAGCAGATAAAAATTCAAAATTAAATAGC